CCCCAAAACCCCAAAACCCCAAAACCCCGTGATTCTGATTTGAAAAATCTTTGTAGACTTGAGAAATTAAAAATTAAAGTAGCGTACTTTAGCCTACATAGTAATAGCAATTATTCCATCACACTTAATCTAAGAGCAATTATTAAGAAATTAAAGTTAACTGCAAAAAATATATAAACGCTTTAATCAATCTTCACGTTAGTAAATTATCATATATAATGTCCGATTATAATAAGTAATAATAAAGCGACACTTTATGAGAAAAGGGTAACTTCATTATACTGAGCTCTTGACTGCCGCCTTAGTATTCTTGTAAATGCAAGGATTTTTGGCAAGAAATGAAGCAAGCCCTCTTCTTGATACACTTAGTGATTGCAAGAAATTAGCAATAAACTTCGATTATACATATTTCAATCTTGGATCAACAATCAAAGAATAATACCCCTTTGGAGCTGGAGAGCTAAGTGAACTTATAACTTGCGATAATGTTGGAACTTGTCCTGATGGAATTATCAGAATATCTTGTTCTTGGAGACGAGCATTTGGAGTCTGGTGCCTTGATAAGACAGCTACGTAACCTGTGAGAATAAGAATACTAACTAATTCGCTTCCAAATCATTGTTATTATTCAAGCACTGACCCTCCTCTAGGAGATACAGTGTCTTATAATTTGGTAGGATTCGAAGTAAATTTCAACATGGAAGCTAAGAAAATGTCAAAAGCTCTGAGTTTGAAATAAGGTAAATAATTCTACAATACTGAAATCATGGATTATAACACAATGGATTTATTTTATTGCAACTCTTTGTGGGCCAGACAGTCAACTCTTGATAAAGCCCTTTAGTATGAAGATGGAATTTCAACTATTGGAGCTGATCCTCCCCCAGCATTCCTTAACTGGGAACTAAGTCAAGACTGGCCTTTGATGAATTTGCCTAATTCCAATTCAATTGTTGGCGTGGCGATGAACGGAGTATTTTTTTTTACAAGTGCATCTGAGTTTAAGTTAGATCCATTTTATCCTAAATAAAATGGTTTGAAGCTTAAAGAGTAAAAAACAAATGTGGATTCTTGCATGGGTACTGCGACAAGCTATTCAACCTATATGTATCAAATATTTACACCTTGCATGTTCAAAATGAACATTGACAGAAGAGTATCATAATGCTCATAGATAAAAAATTGTTCAGATAATGCAACTAACTACATTGTATCTAATACAGATATTGGGCTAAAAACAATAGCCCCAATTGGTATTGCAAGAGATGGAAGAGTAATATATGGACCCTACAGATGGGACGGAAATCTTTGGCAGCCTTGCGATGTTGATGTATGTGGCGGAAGGATGTTTGGATTAAATTATGGATATGTTGCAACTATGTTTTTCCCTTATATAATAGGCTGCTGGGGTCCAGGAAATCAAGGTATTGACATCGAATCAAGTTGTTCTTACAATTCTCGAAAGTGTACTTAGAGCAGCCATTCAGTTAATCTCAAACAAAGCTCAATGATAGCATGGTTATTAGTAGGAATCACTCTTATTTATTTATTGGTTAATTGATAAGTTTCCTTCATATAACTATAAGTAGTTGAAGTTACATATAAAAATGTTTATTAAGATGTTATAACTGAGATATATTTATTTGAATCTTCTTATTTAAACATTGAATTTTATACACACGGGGTTTTGGGGTTTTGGGGTTTTGGGGTTTTGGGG